CCCCCCAGGGCTCTTCACACGGCACGGCATCGTCCAGCACTTCGTCTGCAACGGGTGGCGGCGCGGCGGCGGCAGCGGCGGCAGCGATGGCAAGCCTGTCGAATCCCCACCCGACAGCAATGAAAAAGAATCACAGCTTTATGACCAAGGTGAAGAGAGAAGCGAAGTTTGTAGAGAACCCCGAGCGTTGCCCCGGGAACCGCAGTAACAACTCGTTCAGAAAGGCAGAGCACATAACATCCTGCCTCCTATCACTGAGGTAGGAGCAGCAATACCCAGATGAATCGACAGCTTGACCTTGTGTTTTTTTTTTTTTCTAAGGAATCGTGCCTTTCTGGACTGCTGCGCTTGCAGTTTACCTCGCCGGTTTGATCAGTCGACAGGATTGGAGGGACTGCCTGTGCACCGGTGAAGATCTTTCATTGTGACGGCAACAAGGCAACCAATAACACCAACGTTAATAACACCTGTGCAGGTGTAGAGGGGGTGTGCGATCACTCTGACTTTCCGGTAGTATGCATACGCAAGAGTTAGCAGTCACTGCTGTTATCCTTCCTGTCGGCCGGGTGCCCATATAGATGTTTCCACGCTCGTGCAGACCCCACCGTCTCGCCGACCTTCCGGCCGCCTCGCGTGCCTCCGACGCCGCTCCCGATCGCCCGCCCGCTGACGCACTCGTTCCACGCACACAGTTCAAGGGACTGCTGAGCCAGTCTTCCTCATCCAAGTCCGACAGCTCCCCGCTTTCCCCCCTAGCGGCGGCGAGAGAGTCTGCTACAAACCCGACTGTGGCCTACACACCGCGAAGCTCCCCCAAGGACGCCGCCGCAGGCGCTGGAACCGCAAAGGCGGGGGAGGATCATCCACCCTCGCGTTCGGAGCGGGGTGGGACTGATCCGGATTCCGCCGCCGGGGGGGGGAGTTCCGTTGTTCGTCCGGCGTTTTCTGGGGGGGAGGAGAACGGCGCGGTCCAGGTGAGGGAACTTTTTTTTCTTTTTTGCGTGTTGGACACTATTGGGTGTGTCGTGGATGTACGGGTTTCGCTCTCGTCGATTGTGGCGGCTGTGAGCGTTACGCAGAGCCGGGAGAGTGTGGGATAGGGGTGGGATGTGCTTTTATTCCGTGGCTCGGTATCTATGCCTTGGTATTGATTCGTCGTGGTTGCAAGTATTGGTAGGTCTTTCGCCTCGCCGGAGTTGTTTGTTGCCTGTCGATGAGCTGACGTAGTGTTGCCTGCTAGTGAAAACTGCGGCAAGCCCGCAACTCCCGGCACGATCACACCTCTTGCGGAAACCCCGTTCGCGTTGGACATGCAGCCGTGTTACTCTGGAAATGCTTGCCTTCGATGTGGGGTGTGTGAAAGGTAGCCATGACTAGCGTTTTGTTCTCGTTGTTGACGATGTTGCCTTGTTTGTTGTTGATCATGGTCATGATGTTGTCGTTTGTTGTTACTGCTCATGATGATGATGTTGTTCGTTGTTGTTTTCGGTTGCTGTTGATAATGGTCATGGTACTGTCGGTTGTTGTTGTTGCTGATGGTGATGCTGTCGTTTGTTGTTCGTCTTTTGGTTGCGGCCCCCCTGCAGGAGATGCGGGCGGAACTGTCCGTCTTGATCGACGCCTTCCAACAAAAGTCGGAATCCTTGAGCAACCGTCTCACCGAGGTAGCCGTGGAGAAGGCGGCCCTGGAGTGCAGCCGGACCTCGCTGGGAAGCTCCCACGCCGAGGGCATAAGGTTTGCATACAGTCGTGGCCCCGATTTACGAGGGTACCTTACAAGAGGGGGCTCCGGTGTGTGAGCGTCGAAATCGGTTGTCACGGGCTCGACCCGGAATAGCATAGTTGGGTACCCTCTTGTTCCGGTAAAAGAGGGGGCTCAGACATGCGAGGGTCGAGGGCCTTAATCACACCACCTTTTGGTGTCGGAGCCGCAATTGTAGATATGGATGGAGCGCAGCAATGGTTTTCATGTTCTCAGGGCATCGGGTACGGGTTGGAACAGCTTGAGGTGTTTCATGTTATCGGGCACACAAACGATGCGTTATTACCGGGAGATTTTCCCCTCCGCCGCTTTCAGCAGGGGTTGTGAAAGTGAGTCGTGTGTGTTCCTCCTTCGGTCAACGTCCCTCCAAGCAAAGACGATGGCTGTGTGCCGGTTCCTTGTTCGGTGGGGG